TCCAGCCAACCCTCTGGCCCTTGAGGACATTGATTATGTCCCAAACGCTTCTTCACCATGGGCTTCTTAGATTGTGGGACACGCACCAGATAGAGGAGAAAAACTATAGAGGTTTTCTTTTCTTTTCGTTTTGATTTTCTGTCAGTTCCCATGTCTTATGAAAGCTAATAGCACAATCAGTATCTGATACAGAGAAGTGATTGGAATCTAAGATGGTTTTACTGCTTATTACTATAGGGACTTGCTCTTCAGTCTTCAGAAGTCTGGCATCAAATTCCACTATATCTGATTATCAGTACCACCAAAAGCTGCTTATGCATTGTGTTTTAGAATTGGTAACAGGTTTCCTGACACCTGAAGGGAACGTATCTGTGCCAAAGCTTCTACACCAGTATGTCTACATCTACTACTGGCTTTTCAGTATAACTTGAGGCAAGATTCATAACTTCCCTTCTGCTACTTGTGCCTCATTGGATGATAATGAGTGTAACTTGGCAAATAACATGAAGGCATGTTGAAAGAGAAAGATCAGAAGATTCATAATTATTAATAATAAGGAATGCATTATTTTTCTCAATACTCCCTTCATGAAATTAGGGTATATTTCTTTCAGTGATATTCTCTTCTGGCTTCATCAGTACCCTCCATCATTTTGTGAATGGCTGGCTTTAGTGATTTTCGGCCCTTCCACATGGGCTCTGAGGAAAAATTATTGAGAACTGATCTAGGATTTCACGGTGCAGAGAGTTCTTTCCATTAGCTACAGAGCCTTCTGTGCAATGAAATCAGTCATTTTAGGAAATTATTTGTGAGATAATTTCAAAACTTATTTCAATGTATTGTAAAGGGTTAATTGCTGTAATAAAAAAAAGCATACGTAGCAGAAGCAATCTTCTCAACTGAAAGAGCAAATAAGCTCTTTCCTTGGATTGTGTCAGTTTTGTTTACTTCAGATCAAATGTCTTACCAGCAGCTGTAATACATAGCTTCCAGGTTTGCTTGGTTCATGGGAAGAATTTGGCTAATTTTATAATGGAGACTTAAGGACTACAAAAAAATAAATAATAAAAAATAGAACTCTGGACATTTGAGAGCAAGTCAGAATGTTTAGGGTGATCCGTTACAAGTTTCTAGCTTGGATATTTGTGTCAGATTGCTTGTTTACGTACATTCCTTGTGTCTGGTTATATGTGAGGAAAGACAGACCAGTTTCTCCTTGGTCTGTTTACTTTCTATGCACAAAGAGTTTTTGATGAAGCAAATAAGCTCCTTGTGCGGCTGTTGGCACTACATGTTCATCTCTGTGAAACAATGTAGTACCGAATTATAATTCTATGGTGAGTTTGCTGAGGACCGATTACTAATGCAAGAAATAGTTGAGAACTCAGATACTTGTTAGAAACAAATGACATCTGTTGTTTGCTTTTCTGAAACCTCTCTCCTAAATAAAGATGGGCTAATTTATTTTGGCTTAGTTGGGGATACTCAGGTTGGCGTACTTAGAAAAACTTACCTGCTTGCTGACCTATTTTTCTTCCTTACCTTTCACCTTGTATTGAAAGGCATATTCATATTCCGTTAGAAGCTATTTTGAGGATAAGCTACATCTGAGCAGTATAAATACATTGATATAAATGTAAATGCAAGATTTTAAGGGTGTAGAAAACACACAGTATCCCCATTCTTTTTATTTGAAGCTCAGAACAAAATAGCCAGACTGTTCTGTCAGAATATTTTGGGTCCCTTGTATGCCACTGGAGCAAAGACTCCCAAATGGTTTGAATGTTCCACCATAGAGAATAAAGGGAATTTGGAGCAAGGTCATTCCTTCCTATTTGGTTGGTTGATTGGTTGGTTTTTTGTCTTAATTCTAAGGCTACAACAGTAGCTTGCCTAATTCATACCTAGTGCTTCTGATAATCCATCTACATCAGCGTTTTTCAAACTTGGTAACTTGAAGATGCTGGCTGGGGAATTCTGGGAGTTAAAGTTCACATATCTTAAAGTTGCCAAGCTTGAAAACCACTGATCTGTGTTAAGAACATAAGTTTATAATTCTTAAAAAAAATATTTTTAACATTACCATAACAAACAGCGGAGCTGTTTGCTGCCTGCACAAACCATCATAGAACTGAACCTAGCCAAGGGCAGTCACAGGGGATTCACTCCAACGTAGGCCATGTTGAAAAAAATGCAGCCACCCCAAACACCTTTTCAGCCTGAGTCCCCTTCCAGGGTTATTGCCACCAACTGTTCCAGGCAAGAGATCTCTGAAGAGAGGGAGCGGGCAGTTAACAGTTAACCACAGTTAACAGTTAACAGTCACCACAGTACCTGCTCAGCTGAACTCTTTTCACCCTCACCTTTCCAGGCTATTGTTATCATGAGAGAGAGGGAAGGAGGGAGAGAGGGAGAGGGAGAGACAGAGCGAGAGAAGCAGGTCACAACCATTCC